TGAACTTTAATTTATATGAAGACGTTCTGGGAAATGTAGAACATTTAACCAATAGGAGTGTTTCGGATGGTTGTTTGGCAACCAGCCAGGATTATTTGGCTCCCGCCCCCTATTTTTTAGTCAACCATGATCTCAAAATTGTTCCCTATCACCTAATTAATTACATATTTAAATAATAAAGTAGGGGTAAAATAGAGCACCTGCTTTACCTTATTTTCGTCAACTCCCTTTTAAGCGCCTATGGAGGTTTTTCAATTTTTTCTAATTAAAGCTCATAGAATAGATTTAATTCGTGAAAAATGCGAAGTACGAGGACAAAAAACTGTCCTTTAAATCATCTACAACTCCAGAAAAAAATTGAAAGGATTTCGAAAAGGAGATGCAAAACTAGGCTTGACGAATGATTGTTTCGCTCCACTAGAATGTAAGAGATAAGAGACGTTTAATGGATTAGTGGCTTACGGTAGGTTTATGATGCTTATTTTCATTGGCAAGATATAAACTAACAACAAAATCTGTATCTAACTGTATCAAAAATAGTTTGAGGTTTGTGTGATAGCTCTTACCCATATTCACTTGCATTTCTACAGTAAATGTAGAATTTTGTAGCATTTTAATCCTTATATAGACTTTAAGATGGGGATAGCTGTTTCCGACTAGACAAGCTATCAGGAATCTTTTTAAAATAATTTTTGAATGTCTTTATCTAGTATATTACGTCGCATTTGCCAAATTCAATCTTTTATCAATATTCGATTAATAATCTGATACTGTAGCTTAGCTTTGAGGGCCTAACATGCTAGGATACCTATGGAACTTACAGTATACCTCATTGATCTCCTCATCCGCCCTCACAAGTCCTTTCTTTTGTTAATTTTGAGAATTTGAATCAATAATTCATCTTTAAGTATGCCAAATTTGCAGTAGGTAAAACAATTAATGAATGTTTTAGTACATTATAGTGGCTGCACGAAATCAAAAAAGAACATTAATTCTGTATTGAAAATCTTCACAAATCCAGGACATATCTTAAGTGCTAATAATGGCTGAAGAAGTACTTTGTTTTGATGAGAAACTTGTTTTGACACATAGGTGAGCCATTTGGGCACAGGTGGCCAAGTTTGACACAATGCTGCGCCACATCACATAAGTTGTTAATGTAACATGAAATATGTGTTATGACTGATGGTGTAGAGTAAAAAGAGATTTAGCCAGCATTACTAAGATTTGCAAAGTTACGCCAATTGGATAGGTACATGCATTTTTTGCTAGGTTATTTTTTGGTTTTTTTGGTAGGTATTCTATGTTTCCTTCGCTCCTAAGTTTTAGTTCCGACAATCTCTGCTTCAAACACAACTCAATTTCGAACTCATAGGTCTATATGCTCAACTTAAAATTGTTTTTTTCTCGCTTATTGCTCCCAGAAGTCTTGCCATTGCCTTTCTTCATAGAGCCACACCCCTCTTCTCGTTTCAGCAGTTTACGAATGCATCCACGCCCATCAACGGCAATATGAGCCTTCGGCAGCTGTTCCCATTTCTTCTATGTTTACTACTATTTTGGTAAGAAAACAGTTTCTTATCGCTTTGTTGCCATTTTTGCAATTACTGAGGATTATGAAATTTTGTTTTGTCTTCAGGTTGCGTTTTCTTTAGGTGTAGCTTTGAGTAATAAAGAACTTCGAAAAGTTTAATTCATTGTAGATGACTTCTAATAGTGGAATAAATTCGGACGTTAGATTCACTTGACTTACTCTTTAAGGAAGAAAGAAATTTTTTAATAGGGCTTGAAATACTCTCCTATCTCTCCTCCATAACAAAAAAAAGGGAAAAAGATCAAAATTTTGCTAAAGAGCTGCTATGGCATTATTTTTTTCGTAGTTAATGGCTTAACCCAAATATTTTGAGTGATCTTAGGGAGTAACTCCAAGATCCCTTTTTAATTAATAACTTACCCACTCCCTTCCTTTAGTATTTTTTTAAAATTTGCTTGCTTTTGTTTGTTTCCTCTTGCGGAACCAGTTGCTGTGGATGCTGAATATAGCTGTCTCTCACACTTGAGCGACACATCCACAATAATTTCTGTTATTAACCTAGAGCTTGTAAACAATTTCTCTCTCGAATAGGAATTATGAATTCCAAATTGCAAAAAGGAATTTTCCTAAAATTCTAACATTAATTTTTCCTGATTTCGTAATTTTGTCAGGAATATTGGGACTTACTTAATATGCGATAAAACAGAACGATAAATTTTCTCCCTTTGGGGACCTTTTTGCTTATTATCTGCTTAAAATAAAGATTGGCGCTAATTTTGGTTTGTGAGGAACAAGGACACAAGAAATTGTGAAAAGTGCGTTAAGCACGAGGGCTATTCATAAGGATTTTATAAAATCAGTTCTATCTCTTTATAATCACTAACGAAAATATGCACTATTTGAATAATTCACTAACTTCTATAAAAATGTTGTTGATGGAGGAGAGACGGGAGTGGGTGGGAGGGGAAGGAGAGGATATAGGAGAGGGGGAGGAAAATCAAATCAGACAGCAGGAAAATTCCCTTTGTTCTTGACAATTCATAGCAATTTTTCGGAAAATCTGAATGGAAAAATTTTTTTAAACATTTTTTTCGGCTACCGTACTCGTACCAAGACTTCTGAAAAAGTTTTAAAAAAAGATGTTAATTTTAGCGTAAAAGAATTGCCCTGTTATAATTAGTGCATATGCTCGTATTACAACGGTGTTAAGTATTGTATTTCAAATTTACACCTTTACCAAAGCGATCGATATTCATCTTTCTAAAGATTCATTTTTAGTTGCTCGTTAAATGCTCTCCATCCGATCTACTCGATGTTAGAAGCAAAGTCGATGCCTACAAATGGGAAGAAGGAACCACTTCAAGTTAACATTGGATTTTATGTGGAAAGTCTTGGAAATTTTAGATCTACAGAAATGGTAATTTCACTTCTAATATGTCACACAAATTCTTATTTAGAAAAGTGAAAGAAAACTTCTTATCAGTATAATTTTTGGAGTAAGCAGGATTCTGGAGGTTTTTTTCCGTCTGTACGTTTTTTTGGTAGAAAATCATCAAAATTACAGTAATTAAGATAAAATGAGCACCGTAGTGATAATTATCAAACCAACATTTAAATCTCTTTTCCAATCTGTAAGAAGGTCTGTTTCTGGTAATTGCATAGCATGCTATTCAGTTGTTTTCTATAAGCATGCATAGCAGTCATCAAGTTGCCGTTGATCGCATTTGTTTATTATTTACAATGATCCTTCAAGGATGCAAAAGTCGCGCAAGAACAGCCGTTATGGAGCTGGTGGAAAGCTTAATGAAGTAGGTGAGGTGTAGGGATGGAGAAATGATAGCTAGCGCTTCCTAAATAGCTTTAAGTCAGATTTTAGTCATTTTGCATGTACCATCACTCAAATGGAAGATTACGGCATTTAATAGTTATGGCGATGCAAATTTTGAGAAAAATTGAAATGAGAAAGTGGGTTATCTATATTTGGTGATAGTGCCACGCATAGAATTACAGTTGCGTTTGGGGGTTAAACTTCTGGAATCTTTCAACCCAAAA